GCAGGTGTGCGTAAGTGTGAGGTTTGGGGGGGGGGGGGTTGCAAACCACCGGCGCAAGCCCAGTTGTCGCAGAGCTGTTTAGGATCCTGGTCAGCTGCACTGCGATGTTTGTCAGGTCAGGCGGAAACTCCTAAACGCAAAACCCTGACTTAAATCCTTAAGCCCTATAGCGGAAAGCATGCTGCCGAGAGGCTATGGTGCCCGAAGGGCAGCTCTGGGAAGCGATGCTGGATGAGGTCCCGCTTCGAAGATCCTTATTATGGTTGTTACTATTGTTGATATAAAATTATTGTTCCATGGATGAACTGGCTCATAGACAAATCAATGCACAATTCGAAGTATGCTTTGCTGATGAGGCGGGGGGTTGAGTCTGCGATTCTGCCAAACATGTCGTGCGCAGGAAGGAAAACAGATTCACGAGAAAATCTATGTAAGCTCTTGCTGCTGCTTGCACACAGGGAGTCGGGAAAGACTTGTGGCGGTTCGAGCTTAGGGGGGCCGCACACCTGTCGGGCCTCGTAATCTGTGGCCTCGCTCGCCCACACATTAGCAATACTCATCATAGTAATAATAAGAGCAATAACAGCAATGATAATCATACCAGGACCCTCTGAGTACCCTTAAATAGGGGTATATATGGTTGAGCCAAATGGTGGGTTGCTAGGGTCTAATAGAGCGTAGACGGAGGGTCTAGGTCATCACAAGAATAGCAACAACACTGCTACTAATAATGGTTGTAGTAACAACAATAATAACAATAATAAAATGCCAGGCCGCCTGCGGCGCCAACGAATACTCTCCGGCTTCGAAGTCGAAGACCAGCTCTCCGCGAGGAGTCGTCGTGGATTTCCCTTGCCTGGTCGACATCCGCCAAGGATCCGCGCTGCACCGGGAACTTAACAGCACATTACGGTATGTTACCTTATGCTATGTTATAGGGCGCTGGTATATATTATATTATACCATAATATATCACATCATATCATATCATATTGTGTTGTGGTATAGTAGATCGCACTACATATTTTTGAGTGTCTTCTATGTTATTCAGACCATCTCAAAGCCCAAAAGACATATTTTCTTGCAAGTCGCTTCATCGCTGTTGCTGATGACGACTCCGGCTGTGACAGGGTCATCTGCGGGCCATGGTTCACCTCAGTTCAGCTCATCAAGGATTGTCTTTGCAGCAAGGGGCGGAAGTCTATACTTCTTTATGGCGAGCCGTGCTGCGCAGGAAAAAAAACCTATGATCCGGGTTGCTGCCACTTTGTGATTGACCTGCCTCTGGTTGCTGCGAGTGAGAAGGCTCCACTCGTACTCCTCGGGGAGAACTCAGACAGGAGCTGCCAACGCTGTCGGCAGAATCATACAATGCAACCAATAAAACCTCTAAAGCCCTCTAAACCCTAAACTAAGATAAATATACTGCAATGCTGGAGATAAACTCTGAACTTGAAGCTTGACCCCACAAATCCCGAAAACCTGACAAGAGAAACCATAGCTGGAAAAGGTTGCAGGCGTCCTGGTTTGGGTTCAGGCCCTGCACCGTTGCGCTCGAAAGACCTCCAATGGCTCTCACCTCACTTGGGTAGTCTGCAAAAACAGGGACCCTTTTTAGGTCCCTGCACTATAGCACGGCACCCTTGTAAAAAGGAACCCCAAAGGGACCCTAATTTAGAAAGCTACCCACTTCAGCACTGCAGAGCCGGCACCCTCTTTGTGGGTATACATGGCCCCAAACGGTAGGTCGTTAGGGTCCCCTTTAGGGGTAAAGGGCCCCAAAACGTAGGTAGTTGGGGTCCCCTCAAAAAATAGGGGTATATGGCCTCAAATATTAGGTAGTTAGCTAGGGTCTCATAGAGGGAAGATTCAGGGTCTAGGAGAGCGAGTGTGGCGACATGACTGGCTCATGCCACCCTGTGGAATTAGGATCGGCAAAGTGGCATAACCGAAGGGCTTGAAGATCTCCGTCCATCCGAGCAGCTTCACGGTGGAAAGCTCTCCCAATTTCTCCTAGGTTCAGGGAGATATGCTTCAAGTTAAGTAGGTATGATTGTATGTATGTCTGTGTATGTAGACACATATATATATACACACACATATACATATACATATTTCATACATTAAAGTAATGTGTATATATATATATGTATATGTATACATGGCGTTAATTAAGTGCTAAAGTCCATGTCCCCTAGCAACCTATGGGTTGTTCTCTAAAGTAGGGTCCCCTTTTGGGTCGCAAATATACTACGGCACCCTGATTAAAAAGGACCCTAAAAGGGACCCTGACTTAGAGCACTACTACCCTGTAGCATGCCCCAGGCCTCATAGGTGACCTCGCGGCTCAGGAGTCGGGAGGCGTTTCCCTGGAAGTCGGCCAGGCCTCCTGCGTGCGGGACGGAGTTACTATAGGGGCCTTAATAATTAGAAGAGGCTTTTGGGGTATATCATAATATAATAATAATAATAACAATAGTAATAATAATTCATAAGGAACCCCCCCAAAATAGTAATAGTAGTTAATCAAGCTCCTACGTTAAGGTGGTGCTTTGCAGGAAACATTGTTCGGTGCGCTCGTCCTTGGTTGAAGAGTGCGGCAGAGAGAGTGAAGGATGGCGACACGCTCTCCGTCTGGGTCAGGAACTGCCTTGAGAAGAGGTCACGCAAAAGGCTGACTCAACAGTCACGAACATCGACTTTGACGCGGCTCGATCCTTTCTCAGACTGTCCAGTATCTGCTTCAGCCCCCCTACCACTCCATCCAACCCATCTGAATCGTGCTTCCTACTGACTCTCAGAGGTTGCGGCCCAGGCTATGTCATGCCGGGCTTGAGGGAAAACTGCTGGGCACTCTGCCTCCGCATCGTCGTCTTCCAGCAGTGCTCCGGATTCGCAACTAGGCAGCTCACGTTCGAAGGCCTCAATTTTCGTGACAAGATACAGTTCAATGATGCAGAGGGCACCGAGGGCACCACAGGGCATAGAGATCACCATCAATGCCGAACTCGCGCACCAAGCTGTCGCATCCGTGAAAGAGACGACATGTCTGGGCGCCGTGGGAAGTGCCTCAGAGAAGCAGCTTGATGCATTTCAAGAGCAGCTGCCGACACACGGTGCTGTGATCAAGATGCCGGTCCAGTAGAAGGCGCAGTCCGCCTCAGCTGTATCCCCTTTCTTCGCTGTCTGCCTTTAAAAGCTCACCGACTCCCAACATGCGCAGTCTCTAGTCTACTCTAATGAACCCATGTAGTCCAGACTTCCCTCTAAAGACTCTAAAGTAGTGAAAAGGGAAGTGAGTACATGGACGTTGCCAGTATACGCTACGATACTAGTCTCTACTCTACTGTACCAAACCATACCATGCCATACTATTCCAGGCCATACCATGCCAGACCATACGAGACCGGACCAGACCAGGCCATACCATGCACTCTGCTTTAAGTTGCTATACTCTACTCTGCTATACTAGACTAGATACTGTAACAGGCGACGCTAAGCTACAATACACTCAACTGCAAAACATCCTATGTTATACTATACTATACTACACCATACTATACTGTACTGTACTGTCCTGTACTGTACTATACTATACTAGACTCTACTATAGCATACGAGACCATACTCGACTATATGATAAAAACATGAAATATAAAAGCCTACCTGTTGTTGCTATTACTATTTCGATTACTATTACTATGCTCAGGACGTGCGGCGAAGTCTTTGCACCTTTCCTCGCAGTCTGCTTTCTCGAAGGCTTCGGCCTGCCCGATGTTAAAAATTAGATAGCGGGCCTGCCCGATGTTAAAAATTAGAATAGCGCTCCCTGGGTGGGTTCTATGCGGGTTACTGTAAGCAAGGGGTGCTGTAAGGGCTCTGTAACATATGGCCTGTAGTAGTTAGAGCAGGAAATACTACTTGGAAGTCTCCGGGCTTCGAAATTCATGCGCTTAAGCAGCCACAACTGTGCGTGGTAACCACATGCACAAAGAGCTTGCAGCCTCCGTCTTGAAGTAGACGCCCCTCTTTCCTGGAAGCAGCTGCCTGGTGACACGTCTGGTCTCGCGGCAGGTATATGAACTCTGACTCAGCTGCGAAAACGCTTGATAATTCGAAGAGGGTCTTGAGTCTTGTGGTATATCAGTTATCAGACTCTACCTATATAGTAAGACACCCCAAGGAATCCAAGGAATAGTATAGGGGCCCCAGAGATACTCAGAGGAACTCCAGCCTGGAGGGGCAGGCGAACTGGCCCTGAACGATGAGCAGTGGCGGGGGAATGAAGGCACCTTACGGCAAAAACGGGCAGCTCTCTCAAAGTGACCACATGGCAGAGGCTGAGACCGGAACCATCGCTGGCAGGAGGGAGGCCCTCTGCCACGAGAGCATTTGCGGGAAAGCCCAGGCCCCAGCCAGGCGGAACGCAGTCGCAGGGGTGCAGCCAGAAGTCGTCCGGCTGGAGCGTCGTCGGATCATCGAAGACGAGGGGATGAAGAACATCGTCCTCGACTTCGTGCGTCAGTGGCTGCGGACATGCCAAGGTAGCCCAGTCGAGTGAGATGATGAAGCTCTCCTGACCCGTCGTGTTCGTGGCGTTCTTCATGCTGGGCACTCCTGGCTCCAGGCAGAGCATCTCTTCACCGGCCAGCTCGAAGTATCCCAGCTTCGGGTCCAAGTAATCGACCTCGGGCGTCGCCCGTTGCACCAGCCAGCTTCCGGTAGCGCACTGAGATCTGGAACCCCTCGGCACACTGGCGAGATACATCACCTCCTGTGGAATCAGGCTGTCTTTCCGATAGACGGGGCTTCCACGACGGATGTCGTACTCCACAGGACAGTAGTCGCCCGCAACAACCCACTCAGGATGCTTCAGGCGGATGCAGGTTGACAGGTCCGTGCAATCTGTGACCTTTGCATAGGTCATCACCGACGTCCCTTCCACGGTGTTGACGCGATAGTGTCTGCATGTGTCATCAGCATAGGTGAAATGGGAGCAGACCTTTGACAGACGACAGACCTGCCGGCAGTGTGTCTCCTCGGTGGTGTGCTCCTCCCAGACAACTTCGCCGACGATCTGTTCCTTCACCCAGCATTTGTTGTCCTTCACCTTGAAGACCATCTGAGTGAAAATCGGCGGAAAGTCTGTCCCTGGGAAGAGACCGTACACTCCGCAGTGCATTAGAAAGTTCTTCCGATTGGCCTGGTAGGCGGGTATCTCATCGAACATCAGGGCCATGCTCTCGCCGGGCGCAAGAGCGATGCTCCCATCCGGGGCAACTTCGAGAAGCTGATGATTCTGCAAGAGGCCTACACCCCAATTGCGGTCGTAGGACCAGATTGGGTCTCCAACGGTGCACGAGATCACGAAGGAGGTCGGCTTGAGTCCTCCGGCACCTTCCTCGTATCCTTTGGGCGTCTTGAGCTTCAATGGTGGCAGCTGCTCGCCGACGACCACCTCTGCATAGGAGGACTCGTAGACCAGTTCCGGCCAGGGTCGAGGCCGGATGGCCGCAAAGGTGGCAGTCCTCTTAGTCGTATTCCCGGTGGCGGTCACCACACAGACTCCGCCATCCATCCCCGAGTAGTCGTCCCCCGCCTCCGTCACACCACCGGCTCCGGCGGTCACATCGGTCTGGGAGGTGACGGTGCCCGAGGCATCGACGGAGAGCCACGATTGCTCGGGTGCACATACCATGCTGAAGTCCTGCAGCATGCCCGAAGCAGCGACAGGGTAGGAGGGCGTCTTCTGGGAGAAGACTAGAACGGCAGAGGGGTATGTCATGTGCTCCACAACCACCGACACCTTCACCGTCTCCGAAAGACCGACGCCCTGGTGTGCAGTGATTTCGCATTGCACAGAAAAGGCCTCTGTTGGGCGGGCCATGGAGGCCTGGTAGGAGATCACGCCAGTGCTGCCGTCGAGTGTCAAGTTCCGGGCAGCCAAGTTGCAGTCGCCATTCACTGAGTACCTGGTGGCCGTTCGAGGAAGAGGCTCCAAATAAACGGGGACACCTACAGAAAATCGCTTGTCCGCATACTTGAACGGCGTCGGGGTCTTGTGTCCTCCATTGCACTTGCAGCATGCCTGATTGCTGCTCTGGCCCTTTACTGGCCTGTCGTTGCAGTCCGCCTCCGTGATCCTGTCGCAAGATACTCCGTTCTCGGTGACCCAGTCGATAGTGCTGAGGCAGGCCACGCATGTACCGTTTCGACTCAGGTAGCCGTCCTCGCACTTCTGGCATTTCCCCTCCGAGAAGACGGCACAACCAGCACATTCCGTGGAGTTGCTGGGGCAGCCTCAGTTGAAAGTGGTTACCTACATTGACCTACATGTGAATGCAGGGCAGCACGCGTGACTTGAAAGCCAGCTTGAAGAGTCGAGGCAAGCGGCAGCTCGTGGTGGTTTCATTGTGAAAGAACTGCCAGAGCGTGAGCTCTCCCGGACAGAGATCGCTGTCTCGGTCGCGGATCACGTCTGCCCTTGCGACTTCCCGAAGCTGCTGGGCCACCTCCAGTGGCACCCGAGGAGCTTTGGCCTTGCCTTTTCGGCATTGGGCGGCAAGCCGGTTAAGGCTGCTGTTTGCACCGAGCTCCTGAAAACAAGGCACGACCAGAACAGGAATGCCGTGTCGGCTCGGCAGGGCTCCTGGAGTTGCAGGGCACCTTGCCAGCTTTCGTCCGCGATCGCAAGGTTCGACTCCAGCTCTTGTAGCCGGCCTCAGTGCATGTCGTGACTGCGGCCGTGCGCCATGCGGCATGTAAAGCTGAGATGCTGGGGTCCAGGTGCGACTTGGCCTGGAGCAAGCCGGTGCCAATGGGTCTTGAAACATCCTCGCAGTGGTCGTCAATATCGACTGCACCTCGAAAGGAAACTGCAAAAGTTTAGCATCCCACAAGCAGACTTAACCCAACCGGGGCACTTCCGTACAGCCAACATAGTCCGGTAAAGAAGCAAATCTGCCCATGTATGGGCAACATCGGTAGGTGCCCCGCCGCCGTACCTGTCAAGGGTCAGAGGCATAGCAAATGAGCCCAGGGCACAAACAAGCAGAGGTGAGAACATCGTAAAGGCCTGAATCATATGAACAGGGTTGCGAGGCATATCATAGCATAGTAGTAGGAACTGTGCGGCCTAAGGAATACGAGTCGTAACTATTCAGGTTTTTTGGTGGTATATGATATGATATGATATATATATATATGCAACAAGGTTGTCCAAGGAACAATAATGAAGTTATTCCGACCTCTATATATAGTATAAGCATAATCAGTATCCCGAAGGAATATTAATCGTAATTATGCCGACCCCTATTATCTATATCTACACACACAGAAGTATATATATATATATAGAGAGAGAGAGAGAGTGAGAGCGAGCAGAAGCATAATGAAGCACCATAAGGAATAATAGTCGCAGACCCCAAATATTATGTATAGCAGAGTACTACGCGCGCCAAATCGTAGTTATTCCGACCCCTCTCTCTCTCTCTATAAATAATTCCATCATTATAGTTTCATAAATACATTGATACATAAACATATATATATATAGCTCGATGGACAGATAGATCGATGGATAGATAGATAGATAGGTAGACAGATAGACAGAGAGGTAGCTAGCTGGCTGGCTGGCTGGCTAGCTAGCTAGCTAGCTGGCTAGCTGGATAGATAGATAGATAGATAGATAGAGACATGTGCATATATATATATCTACACATGCATATCTGTATAGATATCGTACAATCACGATAAAGGAATCCTGAGGAATACCATTCAAAACAATTCCGAAACCTGTGGTACCTGTTATCTGCATTCGAGATCCTATGCTTGGTTTAATCGAATTTACATTGAAATTAAGGATCCAGAGCTCCGATGGAGACTAAGGACTAACTCTGGTAGCTCTTACCCTAAACCCTAAACTCCAAAACACCCTATACCCCAAAACCCTAAACCCCTAAAACCCAAAACTCCCATTCTGGCAATTCTTCCGACGGTTCCCGTCATGGGCCTCTTCGCCGAGGCGAGAGATGGCAGAGGGGCGACTTTGCATGAACTCTGAGAGCCAAATTGGGCTTCGGAGGCTTTATGGTGAGGGGTTTAGAAGGGTTTAGGGTTTACTATGGGGTATTAGGGCACAGGGTTCCGGCGGGTTGAGGGTTTGATAGGCTTAGGCGGTGTAGGTTTTAGGGTAGTGGTCGTGCCATGTGAAGCGCAGGACGACGACGAGGACGACGACCACGACCACGACGTTGGACAAATCTTCAGTGACCCATCAATCCCCTCGTCACGTGTGCTGGTGGCACTCTTTTTTGTCAGTCACCCTGTCGAACCAGGCTGGGCACGTACCTCCGCTGTTCTTGGCATCCCAGCACAAGGCACATTGCACCGGTCCGGGCAGGTTGGCATCAAACTTGCGATGGTTAATAACAAAAGCACGACGTAATGGTCCAAGCTTGCGAGTTGCCACTTCGACATCAGGTGGAGGTACTGCGACCAGCCAGCTCGGATGAGCTGCGTCACCTTAGGCTCTGCCCTTAGTCCCCTGAATACATAAGGAAAGCAAGCTCCAAAAAAAGAACCTGTCGGCTCGACATCTACAGTGCAGGGCTTGAATTCCTCTGCTATGGAGGCGACTACCTATCTTGAAATCTCAAACCGAGTATCCCGCTGGTGATGGTGTGAGTTGAGGTGCCTGGCGAACTTATGGCTACGCCTACATGAACCTCTGCTAGCTTCCCTTCTTCGCAATCTCGGCATTCCGGAATCGATCGCCAGAACTCATCTCTTGATACTTAAACTCGAATCCTCTGTTTGCGACACCCAAGCTGAGTTCTGCCGGAACGACATCTGCCCGCTAATATCATCCACGCCGCTGCCGCCACGACAGCATCCAAGGGCGCACATCCAGTGGGCGCCTCGACCACCAGAGAAGGTAGAAGCTCGTTGGTGATCTCCTGGGTCGCGGGCAGAATCCAAGGAGTCTAATGTAAGGGCCTTAGTAATTGGAAAAGGGGTTTGGGGCTCCTTGTTCTAATCAGTATAATATACCCTAGACCCTAGGTTATTATACATTGTCGGAATGCAGGGGACGGTTAGCGTTTCAGACGTGGAAACCTTCTAATTACTCTACGTGAGGTTGCACTGAAACCACTATATATTGCATGCAATAGCAGAGTAAAAGTGTCGCCTGTGTCTCCAGTCTTGCTGTCTTTCCGGGAGCACAGTACGGTCGATGCAGCAAGATGGTGGCAAATGCCACGACACCTGCTTCTCGGTCATGGCTCCGGATCTGAAATGCGTGAAGAAAGTGCTGGCAAATTGACGGATTCACCTTCGCACTCCGCCCGACGACGACTGTACCAGCACGGAACTGCCGGTGTCTTGGGCTGGGCAACCTGCCAACTGTTGTAAATGAAACAGTCAACACAGCAGCACAGCCGCGCCCCGACCACTGCTACCACGACGTCGACGACTTCTGCCAGTTGCTACTACGACCGCTACGGCGCACGACGACGAGCGCAAATTGACCGCAACTGAGCTAACTGAACCTGCTACTGCAATTCTCGCTGCCCCTGCCACTGTCACGAAAACCACCACCACCACCACCACCACCACCAGGAGGACAACTGCCGCTCTACTACTCTTGCTTCTCCTGCTGGTGGCACTGCTACTGCTACTGCTGCTGCTACTGCTGCTCCTACTACTACTACTACTACTACTACTACTACTACTACTACTACTCCTGCTCCTGCTCCTGCTCCTGCTCCTGCTCCTGCTCCTGCTGCTGCTTCTGCTGCTGCTGCTGCTGCTGCTGCTGCTGCTGCTCACTATACTAGGTAACAGCACATCCCAAATCCCCAAACCCATTAAGTTACAAACTCGAGTGTTTTTCGTTGTTCACCATACTACGAACAAGCACATATTGCTTTCGTAGTCAGATTCGATTATGAGAGTCATGCTTCTCTGGCCTTTGAGTCGGGGCATAGGTGGGCCTGGAGGGCCAGAGTTCAGGGTTCGGGGTTTAGGGTTTATAAGCCCTACAAACCCTAAACTTCCCGGATTTTGCAACGGCAAGCGCATTGCTCAAAGTTTAAGGAGTGATCACGGCTTTCCTTTAACCCAAGGCTCCTTTGTTCCATTCTCGATGCCTCTGAGCATGATGTCCGCCACGCTCTCAGCACTTGAGACCTCCAGTTTAGGGTTCAGGGTTTAGGGATTAGGTCCCTAAACCCTAAACCAGACTTTTGCCGCTTGCTACCCAGGCTCGGAGTTGGCTCAGCAGGCTGAGCCCTACTGCAAACAGGAGGGGTAACCTGAATACTTATAGAAGTTATAGTACCCTTTAGTATCCCATACTACATTGACAATCGATTATAGTATCCTGTAGTATCTTATAGTATGCTATAGTGTATTACAGTATAACTTTGTATCTTGTAACCAGCTCGCGATGTCAACTTTGGGTTTGACGCCTACAGGGCTCTCCGTTTTGCTTTCAGTTGGGGCCTTCTAGGCCTAAGCGGCTTAGGCTTTAGGTCCCAGACCCGGGGAAAGCATTTGACGCTTGGCTGGGGCTACATCAAAGGCCTGTCTCGAGACTCCGAGAATCGTATAGAACTATAACCTGGTATATTGTACCTATAACATATTACAGTTTGTCTCAGTTCTTTTGTGCTGCATGCTTGGATTAGGGCTTCGGCTTAGCATGACGCTTCAAAACTAAAGCTCCTCGCGAGTGCATGCCACATATCCTGCAAGCCGAGGATGAAAAGCATGACCATCCGGTGATGAACGGTATACCCGTAGTCAGGGTTTCTGCTCGAGGGCGTTAGGGTCTTAGGGTCTATAAGGTTTAGGCCTGCGTGCCTATGAAAACTCTCAGATCGTCAGTGTTCGCGCTGCTGCTTACATGTAGGATGTACCGATGGAACACACCCAAGCTTCTCAGTGTTCATCCTCATGCACATGCAAGCCTGACTCTGAACCTAAACTTTGTTGATTCCTGGACATGTCATCTCTGAATCCATACTGGCCCAACTGGAAGATGCAACATTGCTGAGCACGAAGCACGAGCCTGCAATCAGGCAACCTGCACACAACTACACCACTCGTTCCGAAGCCTGAGCCGTAAACCTTCAGGCTTGTGTGCCCCCCTAAGCTTACATCTTCCTTCAGCTGCAGCTCTGAGATGCAACATCGGCGATGAAACTGCGATGAACCCTAGCAACAACCATGATATGATACATACCGATTGGAACAGCCCTCTGGAAACTACAGCATCTTCCATGCAAGGCACATCGGAGCATTGTGACTCAATCCTGCAGGAGTGGGCGATGTGGGCTCTTAGACATCCAGTCCTTCCAAACTTAGCCTTGAACCCTTTATTAAACCTAACCCTAAACCCCAAGCTTTGAACTGAATCAGTGAAGTATGAAGATGCCGGTGGCCGGCTGAGACATGGCTGCACCCCTGAGACAGCAGATTCCCTCTGCACCAGTTTAGCGAGACTGGAGAACCAGCATGAGCATTGATGAACTCTGTTACTTGATGTCTTTTGGAGTCGTATTCCTCATGGGCAATGCTGACGAAAGTTTCCGTTCTCTGAGGATGCCAGCTTGCTTGTCCAGTATCCTAGAGGAACTACCGCTTGAGCCTTTGAGATTGTATAGGGAGTATAGTACCTCGAAAAGGTTAACTGTTACCTATCCAACTACCAGGCCAATAGTATCAAGGTCACCGCAGTCATGGCTGTCATTCCGTTTGTCAGCATCGTCAACAACATCATAGTGATTGTCATGACTGTCGCCTGTCAAACTGTTCCCCAGATCGTTCGGAAGAACCTCACTCCCATGATTGCCCATGCTGTCTCTCCAGCCAGTAGTATTAGCGTTGCCGATGGTTGGAGTGTGCTTCGCCGGTGTCACATTGATTAGCATCGCCATGGCGGTCGATGCCGTTCATCAGCTGCAGCATGTTGTCATCTTCTCGCATGGTGATTTGAGGA